TCATATTAAAGTGATCAATTACGAACGAATACTGAAAGCACTGTACAATCAACATGCTCGACATAAAACTTAGCCAATAAAATGTAGAATATGACATATCCGGCCAAATACCGAGGAATTTTAGACCAATTTTCTAGCGCCGGACTGACAGTACTCGTGATAATCATTTGCAACAGTTTTTGAACTGTAAGTAAAGATCAATATCAGCACATCCGTTAGTTTGAGAAGGAACTGAGAGTGCACTTGTCCGTTTCTTCAAGTTCATCCCCACACGGTACGTTCCCACTCGGGTGGATATAGATCAATCGCTATTATACGTTACAAAGTATAATGACATGTCGAGACAGATCTCATTATTTGTATAAATATTCTACAATTTTATTAACAATCTATCGAAGATAGATAATGTGTACTCCGACTGTAAGGTAACAAAGACATTGTACAGATAAATTTATGAAGAAAAAAAGTTCAATGCGCATCTGTTCTTTCTTATAACTTTGTCTCTAACAATAATTTTATCGACAAAAAAATGTCCATTGCGTATCATACCAGTCGTGAAAATCATTATACGCACGACAGTACGATGGTAATTATACGTTACGTGTTCTAAGCGAACGGAATAAATTGTTAGTTGTGCAACGTTCAACCTCGCTTTTCTTAAAAAAAAAAAAATAAGTAAGGAAAGTTTAACAAAACTTGTACTGGGACCGAATCGTATAATGGCGAGTAATTTCTTTTAATGATTCAGGAAATGTTATTGTTCGCTTAGACACGTTCGCTTAGAGGTAAGTTCAAATATTAAAAATGCGCCAACGACTCCGATTTCCAGTTGGCAATATTACGAACGTTGCATGTAATTATAACAACGTAATACGCTCATACAAATAGTTGAACAACCTTTTAATAAAGAGTCAATGTCCTAAATAGTCGTCACACTCTACAATTGTGTATCCATAATATAATTACATTGAAGACTCGCTTAGAAAAAAAAATTTCAAAAGTAAACGTTTTAAATTGCAGACATTTTAAATAATTAATTATAGATACACACTACGAAATATGCTTTTACAAATCGAATATTGCGAGTGTCTGATTAAGAAATTATGCCCAAAAATATGTGACGCAGATACATATACCTTTTTAAATGAAAACAAAATTATTATATAATATAAAACAAATATTCAATTGAATATTATTTTCAATTACGTTAATTGTTTATATATGAAAATCATCTTTAATTTAAGTAATTTATTAAATTACAATTAATAAATGGTAATAAATGGTTGATAATAACAATTAAATTTTGAATTTATTGTTAATATTTTTTAACCTATTAGCTCATATCAATTATATTATTATTTTATAAGATAACGAGCTCTTGTTGGTATCAATGGTACATAGCATTCAAAACGGATATATAAGACGCTGATGCCTTCATGATCTAAAAACATAAAAATTAAGAAATTAAATTTAACTTATTAAATATGTTTATATATAAAGAAGAAAGAAATTAAAGATAAGTAAAATAAAATTGTTTCTTAATAAGATAAATGTCTAAAAAATTTAAAAGATTACACTTGTGAAAGTTTCAAATGACATATCCATCATTTTTCCTGCCGTAATGGTTAGTTTCTTCTGAGATCTCATTATTACAAACATTATAATTTTACCCGTATTTGATGGCATATCATACCAAAAAGTTTCATATGTTGCATTTGCAATTAATCTGCTCTAAAAAATAACGCAAATAAGATATTAATATTTAAGTGCATTGTCTTTTTCTATATCCAATTTATTTATTTAATTTACTTTACTTTACAGAAAAAAAATTTTCTAATATCATCATCGACATTACAAAAATATGACAAAAATATAACAATATTAAAAATTCTTTTTGCAATATTTTTTATATTTATGTTCAATTTATAAAAAGTCTTTTAATTGTAACGAACAGTTTATTGTGTGATAAATAAAACATATTGAAATTTTAGTTATTTTTATTATGAGAGATATATCACCATTATATATAAAGATACTACAAAATATTATTTATAAATAAGAAATAAGTTTTGCAAAATAAGAAATATCTTTGAATAAGTAAAAATTATATTTTTTAATCGATATTTATTTATTTTACAATATTTATTTCACGTATTGTAACACATTAAAACACTTTCGAAAATACATTAGGAAACAATCTTACACTTCTATATCATTAAGACAGCACAATTATGTTGCGTTAAAAAATTATGCATCACGAGATTAATGACTTCTAAATACTCACCTTAAAGCTAAGATATTCTCCAGCAAAGCAAATGACAAAGGCTTCAATCATTATGACAAAGTAAGCAAAAACGGTTTTTACTAATACGAAAATCAGGTTTTCAATACTGTTTTCATTATGGATAGACTAGTTCGATAATAACAATAAAAATAAGTAATATATGTATACAATATCAATCATCATTTATGTATTACAATACTTACAACTATGATAATAAATCCTAGACAACAAATAACTAAAGTATTCCAAACAACTTGCATCAATGCCATAAAGGAGATTAGCTTCTCGATGTTTGCAGAAAACGAAATGATTTTGTTGTGCCTCTCGATCAGCATTCCAAATAAAGATACGGAAGATCCATGAAGAAGAATATTCTTGGAAATATTTTTGAACTCTTGACATACTATATCAATTTGTCCACTTACGTGTAGCACCTAAAATATACTTAAATTTTTGCAAAAATCACAGTCTTTGCATGTAAGAAAAATCATTATTATAAAGGAGATGTTTCAAGTATTTAAGATATGATAAAAGCGTCGCATCATATTTTTACAATTTACATAATACATTATAATAAAAATTACTTTAAAATGTTTTTAACACTGACATTTTACTATAAAATTTTTGATATGAAAATAGAGTTGTTCATATGTAATAATATTCGACAAATAATTTATACAAAAGAAATTTAGATACAGCAGTAGTCATTGTTATAATTATGTATTATCAATTCATATATCCATATATAAATTAATAATTATAATATAAATATAAATTAATAAATAAATAATAATATATTAAAAATAAATAAAAATACAGACAAATTTATATAAAATATGAATTACCAAAGTAAAGATCAACCCATTTAAAATAGCGACCATGCAAATATGTAACATCCAATGTAAAAATAATGTTACAGCAAGAAATTCAAACATTGGCGATTGTTGAGTTTCAAAGGGGAATTGTATCTTTACAGGAAGCTGCCTTAAAGTGTTATTACGATTTTCGGTTAGAAATACAAAACGAATTGCGTATTCGCCTAAAACGTAAAATGCGCCAGCCATCGCAGTGAAGCCTATTAAAGCGTTAGAGATAAAATGTGATATATTCGCTTTGATTGTCATCATATTCAAATACTGAGCAATATTGATGCATTCACGCCAATCGTTATCCATAGTAGTAAGAATTTGATGAAGAACACTGCAATATATCATTTTATTTTGTTAAACGTTTTAGATAAAAATATTACATTGACTTTTGAGGAACCATATCGATATTATACATCAATGTTTAAATTAAGATTTAGATAGTATTATGAATTTTCAGATTTAACAAAATCGAATAAAAAGTGTAATATAGGAAATTCAAGAAAAATTTTATTTCTTAAACATTATAATTTAGCAAAATTGTTACGCATAATGTTACGCGACATATTAATATTATATCTTACCGACGATGTATCCACAAACTCGTCAGTTTAAGAAATGTCAAACTATAATCAAGAGTCACAGGCAAACCGTCAACAAGATTTGACAGCTCACTAATGTTTAAGTGTTCAAATATGTACACATACTGGAAGTACTGTATAATCAACATACTCGACATAAAACTCAGCCAATAAAGAGTAGAATATGACACATCCGGCCACATGCCAAGAAATTTTAGACCAATTTTCAACGCCGGACTGACAGTACTCGTAACTATCATTTGTCAATAATTTTTTAAATGTAAGGAAGTAAAGATCAATATCAGCACATCCGTTGGTTTGAAAAGGAACTGAGAGCGCACTGTCCGTTTCTTCAAGTTCATCCCCACACGATACGTCCCCACTCGGGTGAATATGGATCAATCGCTATTATACGTTGCGTAGTCTAATAACATGTCGAGACACATCTCATTATTTGTATAAATGTTCTACAATTTTATTAACAATCTATCGAAGGTAGATAATGTGTACTCCGACCATAAAGTAACAAAGACATTATACAGATAAATTTGCGAAGAAAAAAGTTTTATACGCATCTGTTTTTTCTTGCAACCTTGTCTCTTTGGCAGTAATTTCTCAATAAAAAACAAATGTCCATCGCGCATCATACCATTCGTCAAAATCATTACACGCACGATAGTACGATGGTAATTATACGTTAGGTATTCTAAGCGAACGGAATTAAATTGTTGGTCGTGCGATTCAACCTCTGGTCTTTGAAAAAATAAAATAAGGGGAGAATAACAAAACTCTCGGGCTAGGGTCGAATCGTATAATGATGAGTAATTTCTTTCAATGATTCAGGAAATGTTATTGTGCCACGTTCGCTTAGAGAGTAAGTTTCAATATTGAAAATACGTCAGCGACTACGATTTTCAATTAGCAATATTACGAACATATAGTTATAACTACATGCAACATAATACACAAATATGAAACATAATACATAAGTATGAATGTCTTCCTAACAAAGTTTCAATGCCCTAAATAGTCGTTGTTTTGTTATGTATAAAGGTTTACTTGAAAAAAAATTTCCAAGGAAAAGTAAAAATTGCAGACATTATAAACAATTAATTACAAATACACATAATAAAATATGCTTACACAAATCGAATATACAATCCTCTGACGAAAAGACAATATCCAAAAATATATATAGATGGAGATATATACTTTTTTCAAGTATGTGTATAGAAATAATAATAATAATAATAATAATATACGAAAGACAAATAATTACTTGGAATTACATTAATTGCTTGTACTAAATGCAGTTTTAATACATGTTATTTATTAACTAACAGTAAATAAACAGTAGTTAATTTTGTTAATAACAAATAAATCCTTAATTCATTGTCAATATTTTTTAACTTATTGTCTTATATTAATTATGTTTTAATTTAAAAAAAAATATCGATTTTTGTTGCTATCAGTATAGAGCATTCAAAACGGATATATAAGATGCTGTCGTCTTCATGATCTAAAAATAATAGAAATTAAGAAAATAAATATGATGTATAAATTACGTCCATGTATAAAGAAAATATGTCTCAAAGTTCCAAAATTAATGATAAGCAAAACAAATTGTTTTTTAATAAAGTGCCCAAAAAATTTGAAAGATTACACTCGTAAAAGTTTCAAATGACATATCCATCATTTTCCCTGCCGTGATTGTCAATCGCCTCTGAGATCTCATTATTATGAACATTATAATTTTACCCGTATTTGCTGGCATATCGTACCATAACGTTTCATATGTTGCATAGGAAATTAATTTGCTCTGAAACATAATGCAAATAAAATCAAATGCCTTAGCTTTTCTTATATCCACGATTGATTATTTAATTTATTTGACACAAAAAGATTTTTCTACCATTATTACGTTATTACAAAACGATTGTTATAACAATATTAAAATTTCATCATTCAATCTTTTTCTACTTTTATTTTTAAAAATTAATTGAATATTTTAAGTACTTGAAAAAAAATGAATAAAACATATCAAGCTTTTAGTTACCTTTTTTAAAAGAGATATATTACATATATATAAAAATACAATACAATATATTTAAATAAATATTTCCGTAAAATAAAGGATATCGTTATTTATAAATTTTATTACCTTAAATAATATATTTCATGTATTACAACACATTAAAATACATTTAAAAGAAAATAATATTGTATATTTTTATTACACTAGTTTACAAAAAAATGTTTTTTAATTACTTTAAACCGAATTACGTGTTTCTTATAGATTTTTAGATGCTGAAAATAAAACTGCAAGCCAAATTGCTTTGTAGCACGTCAGGTTTCCAAGTTCAATAAGATTTAATGTCCAAAAAATATAATTTTAAAAACGCATTTTATAGATGAACAATACATTAATAATTTCCGATGGGAACTTCAAAATAACGTTATTTACAACCTTCTTTACAAAAAAATATCACATATCGAAACAAAAAAAGCCATTTTTTTTTATGTTAAATCTCAATTATCTTGAGAATTTGACGTGCTAACATCATTTTCAACATTCAAAAATCTCTAAGAAACACCTAGTCCAGTTCAAAGTTAATTTCTTGCTCTAAATTAATGCGAAGGCAGTAAAATTATATTACGTTAAAAAATATTTATTATTTATGATTAAAGACTTCTAAATATTCACCTTGAGGCTAAGATATTCTCCGGCAAAGCAAATCACAAAGGCCTCAGCCATTATAGCAAAGTAAGCACAAGCGGTTTTCATTACCATGAAAACACCAGTTTCATTATGAATAGACTAGTTCATGACCAGAGAAATAAAAGTAAATGATAAATAAGATGTTAACCATCGTTTAGGTATTACAATACTTACAATTATGATGACAAATCCTAAACAACAAATAACTAAAGTATTCCAAATAACTTGCATCAATGCAATAAAGGAGAGAAGCTCTTCGATGTTTTCGGAAAATGAAATGATTTTGTTGTGTCTCTCTATCAGCATTCCAAATGAAGGTACGGAAGATCCATAAAGTAGATTTTTGGAAATATCTTTAAACTCTTGACATATTATATCAATTTGTCCGCTTGCGTGTAGCACCTAAAATATATACTTAAATATTTGCAAAAATAACAGTCATAGCATGAAAGAAGTATCATTGCTGTAAAGAATGTGTTTTGAACATAAAGATATAATCGCAATATATTTTTACACTTTTAATATTGTAACATTTTACATAAATAAAATTTACTTTAAAATGTTTTCAATACTGGAATTGTACTTCAAAATTTCTTATACGTAAGTGGAGTAGCTCATACATAACAAAATTCAATAAATTAATTTTTAAAAGAATTCGATATAATAAAATTTATTGTTATAACTTTTGTGTCATAATTCGCTCCAGTACTAAAATTTTAGTAGAAAAGAAAATAAAAATACAGGCAAATTCATATGAAATATAAATTACCAAAGTAAAAATCAATCCATTTAGAGTAGCGACTGTGCATACATGTAACATTACATGTAAACATAATACTACAACAAGAATTTCAAACGTAGGCGATTGTTGAGTTTCAAAGGGAAATTGTATTCTTATAGGAAGCTGCCTTAAGGTTTCATTATAATCCTCGGTTAGAAATATGAAACGAAATACGTATTCGCCTAAGAGGTAAAATACGCCGATGATCGCAGTAGAGCTCAATATAGTGTTAGAGATAAAGTGTGCTATGTTCGCTTTAATCGTCAGCATATATAAATGCTTATCGATATTGATGCACTCGCGCCAGTCATTATCCATAACAGCAAGAATTTCATGAAGAACTCTGCAATACGTTATTTTACTTTCTTAAATGTTTTTGATAATAACATTCACTGACTTTTGAAGGACCATCGATACTATACGCATCAATGTTTGATTTAAACGATATTATATAACTTCGAATAAAAAAAATTGGATAAAAAAATGTATGTTAAGAAACCGACGTAGAACTTTGTTTTCTTGAATATAATTTAACAAAATTGTACTATTATTCAATATTACTGTCATATCTTACCGTCGATTTATCCACAGACTAGTCAATTTAAAACATGTCAAACTATAATCAAGAGTCACAGTCAAACAGTCAACAAGATTTGACAGCTCACTGATATTCAAGTGCTCAAATATGTACAAATACTGGAAGTACTGCATAATCAACATGCTCGACATAAAACTCAGCCAATAAATAATAGAATATGACACATCCGGCCACATGCCGAGACATTTTAGACCGAATTTTAGCGCTGGGCTCACAGTACCCATGGTCATCGTTCGCTAATAGTTTTTACGAAACGTAAGGAAATAAAGATCAGTATCGGCACAACTCGCACGCCAGTGTGGAGAGCAACTCAGCGTGTACTCTCCAAGTTCATCCCCACACGGTTGAATATGCATCCCCACTCGGGTGAATATGAATCAATCGCTATTACACGTTGCGTAGTATACTGATAAGTTGAGACATAACTCATTATTTTTTACAAATACCCTACAATTTTATTAACAATCTATTGGAGGTAGATAATATGTACTTCGACTATATGAAGTAACAAAGACATTGTACAGATAAATTCGCGAAGAAAAAAGTTTTGTGCGCATCTGCTATTTTTTTGCAACATTGCCTCTTTGACGATAATTTCATCGACAAAAAGTAAATATCCATTGCATATCGTACCAGTCGCTAAAACCATTATACGCACGACAGTACGATGTTAATTATACGTTAGGTATTCTAAGCGAACGGAATTAAATTGTTGGTCGTGCGATTCAACCTCTGGTCTTTAAAAAAATGAAATAAGGGGAGAATAACAAAACTCTCGCGCTAGGGTCGAATAGTATAATGATGAGTAATTTCTTTTAATGATTCAGGAAATGTTATTGTACAACATTTGCTCGGAGAGTAAGTTTCAATAATAAAAAATTTGCAGTCTCAGAGATATTAATGTGTAGTTACAACGTCATGTAGCTATACTAACAGTATAAGTAAATTTCTATTTATTTTCTCTCTAATCAAAATTCAATGCTCTAAACGGTCGTCGTACTCCACAGTTTATATGTCTTTTTTGAATAAAACTATACAATAACTAATAATGCAGAAAAAATATAAAATTACTTGCATTTATATTAAATGTAATTTGAATTTGTGTTCATAACTTGTATTTTAATGTATAAAGTAAAAAAAAATTGAACAATTTTAATCTTAATATAACTTAATTCTTTGTTAATTGTTGATATGACCCTTATCGGCTTGTGTTAATTACACTATGATTTTAGCAGAGGCTTTTATCATCAGTACATAGCATTCAAGACGGATAGATATGATGCTGATGCCTTCATAATCTAAAAAAATAAAAGTTAAAATTAAAGTTTGATTTATATCTTATATTTGTATATAAAGGATACGTGTCGCGGCAGATTTCAAAATTAACTGTATATTTTATTAAACAAAATAATAAGTTAATAAAGTAAAATTATTCTTTAATAGTTAAGAATACAAAAGTTTGAAAAATTACACTTGTAAAAGTTTCAAATGACATATCCATCATTTTTCCTGCCGTAATCGCCAATCGCTTTTGAGATCTTAATATTATGATTATTATCATCTTACTCTGATTTGACGACAAATTATACCACAGCATTTCGTATGTTGCATTGGCAATTAATTTACCCTAAAGATCATGCAAATAACGTTAAATACATGTTTTTTTGATATTTATTTTCATCTGTTTAACTTATTTGAAAATATTATTTAGTATTATAGTATTACATTAGAAAAATCTTGTAATATTAAAACTATAAAATAAAGAAGAATAAACTATAACTATGAATTATACTATAAATTAAAAAAGAATAGTTAAAAAATAGTAGTAAAAGAAGGAAATCATAAATTCTTTATTCATTCTATTCTACTTTTATTTTTAGAATCGAAAATGTCTTCTACTTGTAATAACAATCCTTTATCAATCATTAGTTGATTACAAAGTTACTATTTTAGAAATGTTTTATTACTGTTAACATTATATTTAAAAATATTACTACATATTTATAAAAAATTTCTTTAAAAATGGAACATTTTTTATTTAATTTTTATTTAAACAATTGTTTATTTAAATAATATTTTATGTATTGCCAGATATTAAAAAAACAATATTTTTATCAAAAATTGTGTTATGTTTTATTGTAAGTTTCATCATTCTGTAGTATGTGGTATGCAGTATGTGTGTAATTATATTCTATTTAATAAATTGTATATTTATGATTAACCACTTTTAAATACTTACCTTATGACTAAGATATTCTCCGGCAAAACAAAAGACAAAAGCTTCAATCAATATACCAAAGTAAGCAAAAACAGTTTTTACTAATGCGAAAGTACCGGTTTCATTATGAATAAACTAGTTTAATAATGACAAAAAGAAAAATAAATGATATATACAAATATCAGTCATCGTTTATATATTATAGTACTTACAATTATGAAAACAAATCCTATGCTGCAAAGAACTAATGTATTCCAAAACACTTGCATTAACGTAATAAAGGAGAAGAGGTCTTCTATTTTCTTGGAGAATGAAATAACTTTGTTGTGTCTCTCGATCAGCATTTCAAATGAATTTATAGAAGATTTATGAAGAATAGTACTTTCAGAGATACTTCTGAATTCTTGACATATTATATCGATTTGTCCACCTATATGAAGCACCTAAAATAAACTTAAATTTCTTTAAAAATTATTGCCTGCAATTATTAATAATAAAAAGATTTTTTTCTATAAGATATGTGTTTTAAGTTCGACGACACAATACGTATAACGTAATATTCTTATATAGTGTATTTAATTATAATATATATGAATTATATATTAACTCCACTATAACATTTTAATACTGACATTAATATCCATATTTCAAAATTTCTTACATATAAACTTATTGGTACGCTTATTCTACCAAATTCTGCAAGTTATTTGAAATAAAATTGTAATGCGATAACATTCATAGTTATGATCTTGCCTGACAAATCATCTTGTTACAAAATTTAATGAAAAGTATAAATATAAAAAGAATAAAATATGAGAATTGTAATATAAAATATAAGAATTACCAAAGTAAAAATCAGCCCGTTTACAGTAGCCACCACGCCTGCATGCAACATCACATGTAAAAATAATATCAGAAATAGAAACTCAAACAACGGTGATTGTTGAGTTTCAGAGGGTAATTGTGCCTTTAAAGGAAACCGTCGTAAAGTCTCATTGTTATCTTCAGTTAGAAAAACCAAACGAACGACATAGTCTCCTAAGAAGTAAAGTATCGTAGCGATTGCATGAAAGCTCAACATAGCATTGGAAAAAAGGTGCGATATATTAGCTTTGGTTTGCATAACACACAAATGCTGATCGATATTGATGCACTCGCGCCAATCGTTATCCATAGCTGTCAGAATTTGATGAAAAACTCTGTAATGTGTCGTTTTAATCCGTCAGATGTTAAGATAGAAACATTGCACTTCCTTTTGTAAGATCATTAATTTTGTATGCACGTAAGTTCAAGGTAAGATTTAGACGATATTAATTTCCGATTATAAAAAAATTTGGATCAACAATGTGCGTTAAAAAAGAAATTGAGAAATCTTGTTTTTCGAACACAGCAATTGTAAAATTGTATTGTAATACGATATCTTACCGACGATGTACCCACAGACTACTTAATTTAAGAATAGTCAAGCTGTAATCTAGAGTTACGGTCAGACTGTCAACGAGATTCAAGAGCTCACTGACTTCGCAATGATTTAATATATACAGATACTGGAAGTACTGTATGATCAGGATGCTTAGCACAAAACTCAGCCAATGAACAGTAGAATGCAACATATCCGGCCACAAGCCGAGAAATTGAAGGCCGATTTTCAGCGCCGGGCTGACTGTACTCGTGACTGTCATTTGCTAACAGTCTTTGAAACGTGAGGAAGTGAAAAATCGGCACATCCACAACGCCAGTTTGAGAAGAGACTGAGAGAGTGCATCGTCCTGAGTTTCTCCCCAAGTGCGTCCCCACGCGATGCGTCCCCACTCGGGTGAATATGGATTAAATCGTTATTATACGTCGCGTAGTGTAATGATAAATGGAGCCAGAACTCATTATTTGTATGGACGTCCTATGATTCCATTAAACAGACCGATAACGTTTATTTCGATCGTTAAGTAACAAAAAGTATTGTAAAGTAACGGGAAAAAAGGCGAACAGCGTAGCGCGTCAGTTTTTTACAATCTTGCCTCTTCGACAACGCAATTTCTCGCCGACGACATGCAGACATGCATCTCTTTTCCACATATCTTCTTATTGAAACGATTGTAATTATGCATTACGTATTCTAAGCAAAATGAAAGTTGTTCGTACTTTGTTTGCATGTTTTTTAAGGAAATGAGCGATGGAGGTGCGTTATTATCTATCGGAGTGGAAACGAATCGTAATTGCGAGTAATTTATTTTTATAATTCACATGCGTGCTGTACATACGTTCCGTTTCCCTTGCAAATAATTTAAAATAATACTTATCGGCTTAGGTAGAAAGACTCTGAAAAAACTGGCTACGACAATGCAATTGCTAATTGCAAGATGTATTACCGCGTCAATGCAAAGTTGTAAAAAACAGCTCGGAAAATTCAGAAATGTTACTGAAGCTTTGATATACAGTCTTATCACAGCGCAATGGATTTTTTAATAACAAGTAATGTAATCATTGTGACCTATTTCTGTTTATTGCGTAAAAATAATTGACGTAAAAACGTTTTGCTAAATAATAACTTCTATTTTCAGTATTCAGTACGACCAATTTCCGCATTTTCCAGCGAGTATAACGGATTATAACAAAACATATTCAACCGTTTAATAATTTTAGTAACTTTTATTGTTTCGTGAATACTTTTACACATAGTTAATCGATGAATAAAGCTAATTAATCGGAATAGGCCGATTTGAATTTCAGTACATTGCATGCAATATCGACATGTACGACGCCGAAGCTTTCATTACCTGAAAAACATGTATTCTTATGCAAACAGCAACGAAAAGCATAAACAGACCGTCTCCAGAATCTAAGTAGTACATATACGATACAGTTTCAATAATATTTTATCCAATTGCAACACACACGATCGTTTATTTCTGGATCAATAAATTTCCACATACGTAAATCGCACTGATTATCCGCCACACTTAAAAATGATCTTAAAAAATGCTTACGGTAGTAAAACCTTCCAAAGTCAGGTCCATGACTTTTCCAGCGGTGATCGTCAGTCGCTTCTGGGATCTGATGATTATCAACAACAAGACTCGGCATTCGCTAGCGGAGAGATCGTACCAAAGTGTCTCGTACACCGCATCGCTGATGGACTTGCTCTGGGAAAGAAGAGAGGTCTGCTTAAAACGTCGTGCGCATCAGCTACAATATACGAACCGTACGCACGTGCAAGCAGCACGCGTCCGCAAAACGGCCTCGTCGTTAAATCGTAAAATAGAAAAGTATATACTTTCGTACGTGCAGCATTAGGGAAAAGTACTTACGCCTGAAAGCCATTAAAAGCTGCAAAGAGATCATGCTAACCTTCGTACTCAGGTACTCGCCGGCAAAACAGAAAACAAAGGCCTCTAACGTAACAGCGATATACGGAATGATGGATTGCATTAATAATCCGGATTTACCCTCCACGTCCGTGCCTAGGGACTGCGTAATGATGTATTTAGATTACATTAATAGGGAATAAGTTGTATAATCTCTTGCACGTTCGTGCTTTTAATTATTGGACCGGTATTACGTTCTGCATGCAACAGTCTGAGAACGTAATCCCAGTGTCAAGGAAATAGAATAATGCATTATTCTAAGAGAATTAGTGTTACTACTGTACAAGTATTTGTACGATACTACTCTTCAGAATTGCTTTGGACAAATTAAATATCATAAATCGTTTATTACTTTTTAGACATTTCAAACAGTGAACAGTTAAGGTAGCAATATCAAACGTTAGTTTAACGAGAAGATTATCATACCGGATAAAAACTTTTTCGGGACAAATTTTTTTTGTCATTGCATTTTCAGGTAAAGCGTTATTACTCACTATTACAATCATGATTCCTACGCAACAGATAACTACGGTATTCCATACGAATTGTATCAGTGCAACGAATGAGAAATAACTGTTGATACTGTTCGATAAGGATATAATCCTCTGATGCCTCTCGATGAGCGCTCTCATGGCTGACGGATGAGATTTCTGCGTGGTGGAAATTTCTCTTAATCCTTGGCACATGATATCGATCTGACCGCTTACGTGAAGCACCTCGAAATAAGAACCGAAGATTCGAGACGCGTTCGCGACGATTTAAGTGATACGCGCTATTTAATTTCAAATCAAAAAAAGATCAAAAGAGAGCTCGTTCAGATCGAGCTTACTTCATATAACGACCATAAAACGGCTTGAAAAGTTCTCGTTTCTTTGACTTACCAACGCCAAGATCAGGGAATTCAGCAACGCGATCACTGCCGCCGTTTCCCACACGTGAAAAAATAATCCCAGCACAACGAGCTCGAAGATCGGCGAGTAGGTGGCATTGAACGGAAACCGTACCTGCAGCGGAAATTCCCGGAAGTCCGTGGAGACCGTGCGGCGACTCAGGTAGCTGCCGATGAAATAGACAACACAGGACACGCTGTTAAGGCCTATCATGACGTTGGAGCATCGATGCGCCAGAATGGCCTTGTCCGTCATCATGCACGCGTGCGAATCCGTGGGGCAGTCGTTCCAGTCGTCGTTCATCGCGCCCAAAATATCGGAGAATATTCTGCAACCGATCACTCGTCCCGGATAATGTCTAGAAATCACGGCGGCCGATGGTACAGCGAGTCTTACCGGCGATTGTGCCAAAGGCTCAGCAGCTTCAGAAACGTCAGAGTGTAATCTAGAGTGATGCTCAGACCGTCGGACCTCTCCATTAGCTTGGAGAGATCGTTCGCGCCCAAATACGCGAAGAAGTACGAATATTGAAAGTACTGCATGGCGAGGAGGGTGGCCATGTAGAAGAACCAGAGGAACGTTCTGCCCGAAGAGCCGGGCCACATACCGATCAGACCGAGGCCGAGCTTCAACGAGGGGCTTATGGTGCTTCTCAGCGGGCTCGTGGATTCACTTGGAAACATCACTTGGAACCGTTTGCTGCGTCGTCTTTTCAGGTGAAATGGATCTCGACTGTCGGGGGTGGGAGAAGCGCGTCACCGCGAGGAAAGCACGGGAACGAGGTCTTTAAACTCTATACTGCGTTCCCCACCCCCTCGCGCGTAGTTAGCAATTTCGCAGAGAGCAAAACTACTCCGTATAGAAGAAATATACAGGGTTGCGTGAGCATCGATCAATTGCAATTATGTATCTTGTAGTACGGCGACAGTCATGAAATAATAAACTAAATTATGACAGGCGATTACAAGTTTTTTTTTCTCGCGATCAGGAAAGATATGCACGTGGAAAATGTCATCGTCAGCTCCGCCAAGTGAACTGAACGCAACAGTGAAAAAGTGAGAGATAATTTTCTTTTAAAAAAAACGCAATGACTCTCTGGTAGAGATAAATAATTATAAGGCTTAGCTATGAGAAAAGCAAAAAATTACGCATTGTGAGCAGATCTGAAAATTAAATTTGAAAAAACGATTGATATAACACAGCAATCAGTTACAGCGAGAATATTAATTTGTTGAATATCACTCTGTTATTTACGAGAAAAAATATTGCTCTATGCAGAAAGATCGGATGATGAAAACGGAAGTTATAACTTTTAATTCACAATTTGTAAACAAAGTAAATTGAATAATAACTGAGAATAATGTATGTAATTATGATATTGTTAAAATATTATATTATTATTAAATCATCTTCATCCCTTCTCATGTATTTTTATGTATCATTACTTGATGAAGGGATAAACGTTCAAAACATATAATTTATTGTCATTATTAAGAGACACGGCAATATCTCGTGTCAGGTATACACGCAGCGCGAGATCGCCCTGTATTTAAATTATCTTTTCTTTTACCCTCTGTAAGAAATTTATAATAATTTATGCTTGAAAAGAAATTGGAGGGAAACGTTGATGTTCATATACGTTATTTATATTGTTAATAAAATCTTTTGTGACAAAATTTATCGCGGTAAATTTAATTTAATTTGCTATTTCATAACTCAAGACTGAAAAAGATTAACACATAAAAATTCTAAATTTATATATAAATAGAATTAATTTCGATAAACAGGAAATTTGTATAAAAGAAAAATTGCACGTTTATAATAACCATCTTTCTCTATTAGTTTTTCTACAAATGTATTATACATCATTATTTCACTCGCGATGATTTGACAATATACACATGACCAGCATAGATTAATTCGAGTTTCAATACATCGCGTATAAAACCGAAATATATGAGGCTGAAGCTTTCATGACCTAAAAAGAGCATCACGCAGATGGGAACTAATAAGAACAACTATTCAAAGATCTAAAGTGACTTCATAATAAATTTTTTTAAGCACATTAAATATTACTATATGGCATTGGTACTTGTTCGGCAATCATAATATATTATTAAAAAAAGAAAAACGATATGAAATTCAAAGCGAAAAACTTACTGAAGTGAAACCTTCTAATGTCAGGTCCATGACTTTCCCAGCCGTAATAGTTAATTGTTTTTGAGATCGGAGGATCACGAATAATAAAATTCGGCATTCACTAATGGATAAATTGTACCAGACCGCCTCATACGCCGCATCGCCGATAGCCCTGCTCTGAAAAAGAGACAAAGATTATTCAGTATATGCGATTATAACACATGACATTAAGGGCAAAAATTTCCATTTTAACGCGATTACAATACACACAATCCGTTTTTATTTCAAGATCATTTTAAGTAATGTCTTAAGAATACTAATATAGCCCTGTGATTGGTTTATAGCAGCTTAAAACGTTTGTTTTTAAATATAAAAATGAACAATTAATACTAGCTATATTATCAGATTTAGTAATTTTATAATTAAATTATCAAAATTTTAAGGTATTTTTATTCATCAATACCAATCCTAAGTAATAAAAAAAAATGGATAAAAATAAAAGCAGCTTACCTTACTGCTCAAATACTCGCCGGCGAAACAAAAAACAAAAGCTTCGATAGTCACTGCGAAATATGGAATAATAAATTGTATCAATATTCCGGATTTACTCGTCATGTTCATACCTAAAGACTGGAATATTAAATAATGTTTAATGGATGATATGACATAGTATCAGAATTGGATAAATTAATAAAAAAAAAAAATAAAAAAAAAAAAAAAATATCCGCGTAAAAATATGTCTTCCGAGATATTATTGTCAGAGATATCATAATGCATATAACTATTTGTTTTAAATTAAAATGCGTTATGAATAATACAATTGTATAAACTGAATAAACCGATTTATCTTTCTCAGATACTGTGCACAATGAGAGATTTTAATTGAATATAATTATCACATATAATTTTAATTACGCATATTTTCAGAATGTATTTATTTCTTTTCTTTTTTTAGGCAAACTCAGATGACTTGACGGGCAGTCTGTTGCTGCAGCAGCTGCAGTCTTACTCACAATCACGACCATGAATCCTAAGGCACAAATAACAAAGGTGTTCCACACGAATTGCAACAGAGCAACAAATGAAAAGAAACTTTCGATATTCTTCGACAACGATATGATCTTTTGGTGTCGTGTGACGAGCGATTTGGTGGATACCATGTTACATTTGGACATAGAAGAGATCGCTTTCAATTCTTGACACATGATATCGATTTGTCCGCTTACGTGGAGAACCTCGAAACAAAAAAAGTACTAAGGCTTCAGGTTTGACAAATTCAACGAAAACTTTAATTAATCCGCTAGAGAGAACATTTTAAATATTTTACATAAATGTCATTACGTTAAACATGCCCAATACATATTTAGCTAAAGGATTCGCGCAACCGTTTCCGTCCCTTAACTTACCAACGTTAAGATCAAAGCGTTCAGCATCGCTATTACGATCGCCGTTTCTAACACATGGAGAAACAATCCCACACCGACGAGCTGATAAATGGGCGTTTTGTGTACCTCGAATGGAAACAGCACCTGTATTGGAAAGTCGCGGGACTGTCCGTTCTTGGAAAGTGTACGTCCACGTACGTAGCTGTCGATGAAATATAGAAAAGTGGCGACAGCATTGACGGATATCATAGCGTTGGAGCAACGATGCGCCAGACTAGCCTTGTCCATCATCACGCATTCGCGCAAATTGGTCCCGCAGTCCTTCCAATCGTCGTCCATCGCGACCAGAATATCCGCAAATATCCTACGAATCGATCACCGATCTGTGTCTCTTAATTCATTCAAGCGGCGTCTAGACTGAAACTCAAGACTTAAGATTTAAGAAAATTGACCAGTCATAGTCGATTATTCTTCTCACGTGAGAAGAATAATTGATTTTGATTGTGGTTAATTTTCTTAAATCTTAAGTCTCATTGTAGACGCCACTTTAGATACGATCAAGTGTCAAGCGATCGAGAAATCGCCGAACGATCCGATATAGTCTTACCGGCGATTAAACCAGAGGCTGATCAACTTGAATATCGTTAGGGTGTAATCCAGAGTGAGGCCCAGGCCGTCCATCAGCTTGGTCAGATTGCCGAAATCGAGTTGCGCGTAGACGTAGGAATACTGAAAGTACTGCATCGCGACGAGTGTCGTCATGTAAAAGAGCCAGCAAGGCGTGCCGTGCGCGGCGCCGGGCCATATGCCGATCAAACGGAGACCGATCTTCAGCAGCGGGCTCACGGTACTTCGCAACATGGTAGGGTGTAACGTCACATTGTACCATCACTCCGGAAAAACGTCGGTGCACATCGTCCCCTTCCAACGAGCTGAGTAATGACTGTGCGGAGAAGTGCGGCGGTGTCGCGCGAAGAAGACACGCGGCAATCGCGGAGTCTCTCCTAGCTCCGTAACGTAGTCCCCTCCATAATGTCGCGAGGGAGGTAGATAGCGATTTCGCGGGGTAAAAACCGCTGCGTTTGTGCGAGCAACGATCAATCGCAATTACGCATTTCGCAGTATAAATTGCGCGACAAAGCAAAAGCTAAATTACGATAATGAATCAACAATTGCGGGCTTCGGCGAAAAAAAAAAAGATACACGTGCAGTATCTTTGCGCAAATAACCGTTTTTAAAAATGCAAATGCAGACCACGTTTGCTGATGTTGATAATCTCCCTGCAAAAAAGACTTGCAAGAAAGACTTTCGCGTTTCTGATAGATCTGAAAATTAAATGTTTCCAAGGTATAAGATGAATTAAGCAAAAAAAAAATGTACAGTATTGTCATCAAATGCTATGATTTTTTTTTACATCAGCGAAGAAAAAAGGAGATATACAACATGAACAAGAAGATTAAATGTAAAACTGTGTTTCGAAGAGACAAAATAAGGAGGATATTTATTATATTTTTATAATGCGCGAATAAGGTTCTAATGTTATTATTAAAATATATATACATATATACGTTTATGCAATCCATTTTCGTCTGTAACAAGTGTCTGTTGAAAAAGCTCGCAACAGGTAATTTATCACCGGCGCGAAACGTTTATTAAAACTGTGGACAGATGATATCTCTCCCGATTTAGTACGCAGCATGCAACACGGACATGTATGACGCAGAAGCTTTCATGACCTAAAAATGATTTTGTTTAAAAGACACACGGAAAATTAAGAGATGCGTATATATACTGCCGGATATTATACTGTCGACGTCTTACGCTCATAAATCCTTCTAAAGTGAGATCAAAAATTTTCCCCGCGGTGATTGTCAATCGCTTTTGCGATCTCATCATTATGAACAACAAAATCCGACTGTCGGACGGTACCATGTTGTACCAATGTGACTCATATACTGCGTCGCTAATCAATTTACTCTGAAAAGCGTGACCCGAGTTTAAAACGCTAGTAAATAAGTATTTAAATCAATTTAAATGCCCCATTTATTATGTATCTACCAATATTATATATACGTCAATAATCGTTAATAAATTATATGAATATAACGTAATAGAATTTATTACGCAACAAATGTACTATAACTGCGTATTATTTTAATTATTATTTTAATAAATTATTAATTGAGGCTTTAGAACGAATAAGAAGAAATAATAATCGGATATTCTGCGTGTACAAAAACATTTCTCACTTCACTCACCTTGAAGCTTAAGAATTCCCCTGCGTAGCAGAACACGAAGACTTCTAACGTTTTTGCAATATAAAGAAATAGCGACTTTATCAAAACGCCTTTGTTATTACCGAGAGCCTGCGAAAGAAGGCAAATTATCGATCGGAAGATCGGTGCGGATCGGTCTTGCACTTACAAGTATGATCATGAAACCCATGCAGCAGATGATTAAAGTATTCCACAGAAGTTGCAACAGCCCAATGGTCGAAAACAAATTTTCGATATCGTCCGACAAATTGATGATCTTTCGGTGTCTGTGAATGAGATCACTGAGTACGGTTAAGGATGTACCGAGTTCGTCGTTGCTGTGCACTTCCATTATGGCTTGCCGCATAATATCGATCTGACCACCCACGTGAAGTATCTGTAAATATAAAACGGTAGACGTTACTTAAACTAATAAAAAAAATTTTATCTACAGTTACGATCTGCGAAATATGTTTGCGTCTTTCCAAAATCGTGAAGAGGGATTTTAAGATTTATATAATGAATTGTTGTGCACTTACCAATGTAGCAAGCAACGCATTTATCATACCGACCACAGAGGCTAGCGTTATCAGATAAAAAATTTGCCAGGCAAGGATACACTCGAAAAACGGTGATTCCAGTGCCGCAAAAGAGAACTGCATCTTTACTGGGACGCCCGGGAGCGTCAGCTTTGCTCATCGTGCGAAACACGTAAGCGCCGACCGATAAGAAAAAGACCAGACAGAAGGTGGATGCCGATGAGCAGGTAGGAACAACGACGCGACTTATCCGCGACTGCGGTCATGATGGAATAAGAACCGTCGATAACGCGATCACTCCAGTCTCTATCCATTGTTGCCAGGATATTATAGAATATCCTGCAGAGAGTGCATCCTTTTATCGAAAAACTGTATGCGTTAATCAGTTTTATCACGAAAAGGAACAAGCTTTAAATATCGACAACGTTTAAACGTGTAACTCTATTTCGAAAATAATCACAGCAAATGTGTTATCTTTATTAACGGCCACTAATTCTACACTAAAATCGTAAGCGATTTTTTATACGCGAAATTGACAGCAAATTGACTGCAAATATTGTTCGAAATTCAAATAAAACTTATATTAAAATGTGTCTTGCTGCGTCAATACTATATGTGTATAACAGAAATTTTATTTCCCTTTTTCCTTTTTTAACCCCCTCTCCCTTTCTCTCTCTTTTGGCACTTATAACAATGGTTTTTTCGATGTCACTTCTCTTGAATCAGACATTAAAACGGAACACCTTACCTCCGATTCCACCACAAAGAAAGTAGTTTAAAAAAGGCGAGCGTATTCGCTAGGGCGAGACCAAGACAGTCCATTAAGATCGTGAAATTGCTCATGTCGAAATGCGCAACAACGTACAAATATTGAAAATACTGCGATACCGCTATCAATGTCATGTACATAGACCAATAGAGATTCGGATAAGCCGACTCCGGCCACATGCCGATGAAACGGAGACCGATCTCGACCGAGCGGCTAACGGTACTTGCGCGGTTCATCGCTTTTTCAGAAGTACTGAATGGTAAAAATAAACGGTCACGTATAAAAAAACACACAGATGGTATATTGCGTGATGACGGCAAAAGTATAATACTGAATAATAGCGAAGACGATGAAGCGCAGGCAGCAACGATCAATTGTAATTGCACCTCATCGCATTAATTCTTGGAAGCTCGCGGGTATTAAAAGCGAAAACGATGACAATACCCTCTCCCTTTCTGAGGCACTAAACAATTCAGTAGTTGCGAGATTGCACATAATTACTTTAATAGAGCACAAAAAATGAATTCTAGATCTACTAAATGTTGGTTTCAGCTATATATCTGATCAAAAAAAATTTATAAAAACGTTAATGTTTGCGAGACTTAAATGTAAGAGGAAAAAGAGAAGCGGAGAATTTATTACAGAAAAATACCTCCCTATCTGAAAAGCGACTGATTTTGCTATTACTTTTTGTCTCTTACTTTATGTACTCGCTTACGTTTTATTTCGTTTCGCTACGTTTTCTTCTATAGCCAAAGATGCTTTCAGAGCAGTGGCGGTAGAAAAGCTAAACAAGAAAGGTGAGATTGCCAGCATGCGAAGTAAAAACGTAAGTAGTAGTCAACGACGTAAATTGTATTTAAATATAAACATATAGCATAAAGGAAACAACAAAAATTGGATAATTAAAACAAGACACTGTTTTTAAGGAGGTATTCTAGTCTAGAAGCCAAATTTTTATGCTATTTTTGCGAATTTTTTTAAAAGAAAGTATAAAGTTTTTTGGGATGGGATTTTTTCCTACATATTTATACATATTTGAAGCATGTTTCAAAATATTTGTATTTAAAAATAACCAGGGACCCAGACTGGACCGAAACCAAAACCGATAACCGGATCAAAACCGTTATTTTAGTCGGATCAAAACCGAAAACTAGACCGAAATATTGTGCAGATTAATGGACCGGACCCATAACCGAATCAAAAACTTTTTTCCGATTTTCGGTCCATTTTTCGGTTCGGTTTTTGGTTCGGAAAAAGATATACGATAGCTATACTTCCATCTTTCTTCCTAATCAAATCTCACGCCTCGTTTGCTCTGTAATTTTTACTATATCTATGGAATATCCTTACTTTATGTCTGGATTGAAATCTTATTAGAAAGCTACAACCAAAAACAGAAAAGAATCTCAAGAAAAACTAATATTTTGAAATTCTGACAAGAAAAAAGTATGACTCAACTAGAATTATACAAATTAATTATTGATAATTGTTCTGACGGTACCAGCCACGCAAGTGAGTGTCGAACAGCTGTTCTCAGGATTAAAATTCGTGCTATTTCCGCTAAGAATGAACATCGATGAAACAATTCTGGAAAATCAATTGATTAAAACTAACTGAATTTTCGTCAACAAAGATTTTATTTAATAGAGATAAATTTTTTATAATATTCAACTTAAATCTGTATTACTTTTTTATGCATAATACTTATCTTTTATAATTTCACAATAAGTAATTATATGTATACCCGTAACCGTAACCGAAAAAGACCGAAATCCAAACGGTTACGATCATCGATATCGGCAAAAGAACTGAAATCGAAACCGAAACCGAAAATTAGGTATAACCTCGGACCATAACCGTAACCGGACTGAAATTTTCTTTCGGTCCGGATCCCGGAAAATAACTATAAATAAGCGCTATATACAATATATACTGAGGTCATGAAAAAAAAGATTGGTCTACCCATAATTCCGGCTGTTCTGCTCATTTAAAACAAAACAATCAAAGAAATTCATAATTAGTATAAGTTTGCTGGTTGCTATAGCTGATACCAGAACATAAATAAAATGTTAAAAATTAAATAATTGACATGATTTTGAAAATTAATTTTAGATTTTTATCATTATTTTCAACTTTAAAGAGTTATAATATTTAAAAAAACATATTTTGATTTGGTCGAGGTAGGGGCTATAGCCACGAATATGCTGAAGATATGTGCACAAGCCCGAATTGATTGGTCAATTGGTTTTCGAGATATTATGGGTACCAATTTGAAAAACGTGGTTTCGAGAAAAACGAGTTTAAAGTTTTTTGTACATGATTACATAGATTAAAACCACTCTTTCAAGTGCTATGGCCGGTATTCATAAGTTGGTTTTTATTTCAAAGCCGTCTTAGGTAATGTCTTAAGATACGGCTCTGTTATTGGGTTGTAACATCTTAAGATTATACTTAAGACGATCTTAATAGATCTAAATATAAGAATCGATTACGAGTACCGGCCTATAACTTTGTCAATTTTGCGAATCGGACTAAATCCTTTTGCAGACATATTTTTCATATCAAATACTTGCAAAATATATAAAAACAAAAAAATCGATGTTTCCGATCCGCTAAATTAGAATACCCCCTGCAAGCAAAAATTTTCTAAAGATATATTCAATGAACGTATATACAAACTTCTCATGCATTTCCTTCTCCAAATACGTAACAATTTTTTATAACTTTAAATAAAAAAACCGCTGTATATGAATTAATTATCATCAATAAAGCATATTTTGAATGAATTTGTTAAGAATAATTTTTAATAAAATAATTTCGTACAACTCGTAATTCGTGCAATTCCGTTCAATTAACAATAATAATGACTCACTATTAATGAAATTATTTGAGCTGAGAATATAATATAACTGTCGCTTTCAGATTTAGTAATTTTAAAATTAAATTATCAAAATTTTAAGGTATTTTTATTCATCTATACCAATCTAATGTAATAAAAAAGAATGGATAAAAATAAAAGTAGCTTACCTTACTGCTCAAATACTCACCGGCAAAACAAGAAACAAAAGCTTTGTCACTGCGAAATATGGAATAATAAATTGTATTAATATTCCGGATTTACTCGTCATGTTCAGACCTAAAGACTGGAATATTAAATAATGTTTAATGGATGGTATGAAATAATATCAGAATTGGATAAATATCCGCGTAAAAATATGCCTTCCGAGATATTATTGTCAGATATCATAATGCATATAACTATTTGTTTTAAATTAAAATGCGTTATGAATAATACAATTGTATAAACTGAATAAATCGATTTATCTTGCTCAGTCTGTGCACCTCAGATCAGATATTGTGCACAATAAGAGCTTTTAATTGAATATAATTAGCACATATAATTTTAATTACGCATATTTTCAAAACGTATTTATTTCTTTTCTTTTTTTAGGCAAACCCAGATGACTTGACGGGCAGTCTGTCGCTGCAGCAACTGCACAAGCAGTCTTACTCACAATCACGACCATGAATCCTAAGGCGCAAATAACAAAAGTATTCTACACGAATTGCAACAGAGCAACAAATGAAAAGAAACTTTCGATATCCTTTGACAACGATATGATCTTTTGGTGTCGTGTAACGAGCGATTTGATGGATATCATGCTACACTTGGACATAGAAGAGATCACTTTCAATTCTTGACACATGATATCGATTTGTCCGCTTACGTGGAGTACCTCGAAACAAAAACAAAAGCTTTGAGGTAGGCTAAGGCTTCAGGTTTGACAAATTCAACGAAAACTTTAATTAATCCGCTAAAGAGTGCATTTTAAATATTTTACATAAATATCATTACATTAATCTTGCCCGATACATACATAACTAAAGAATTCGCACAACCATTTTCGTCCCTTAACTTACCAACGTTAAGATCGAAGCGTTCAGCATCGCTATTACGGTCGCCGTTTCTAACACATAGAAAAACAATCCCATGCCGACGAGCTGGTAAATGGGCGTTTTGTGTACCTCGAATGGAAACAGCACCTGTATCGGAAAGTCGCAGGACTGTTCTTGAAAAATGTACATCCACGTACGTAGGTGTCGATGAAATATAGAAAAGCGGCGATAGCGTTGACGGATATCATAGCGTTGGAGCAACAATGCGCCAGACTAGCCTTGCCCATCATCACGCATTCGCGCAAATTGATCCCGCAAGTCTTTCCAATCGTCATCCATCGCGACCAAAATATTTGCGAATATCCTACGAATCGATCACCGATCTGTGCCTCTTAATTGATTCAAGCGGCGTCTAGACTGAGATTCAAGACTTAAGATTTAAGAAAATTGACCAATCATAGTCGATTCATCTCACGTGAGAAAAATAATCGATTGTGATTGGTTAATTTTCTTAAATCTTCAGTCTCATTGTAGACGCCACTTTAGGGACGATCAAGTATGAAGCGATCGAGAGATCGCCGACCGATCCGCTATAGTCTTACTGACGATTAAACCAGAGGCTGATCAACTTGAATATCGTTAGGGTGTAATCCAGAGTGAGGCCCAGGTCCATCAACTTGGTCAGTTTGCAGAAATCGAGGTACGCGTAGACGTAAGACTACTGAAAGTACTTCTTTGCGACGAGTATTGTCCATGTAAAAGAGCCAGCAGGGCGTGCCGTGCGCGGCGCCGGGCCATATGCCGATCAAACGGAGGCCGATCTTCAGCAGCGGGCTCACGGTACTTCGCAACATGGTAGGGTGTAACGTCACATTGTACTATCACTCCGGAAAAACCTCGGTGCACGTCGTCCTCTTCCAACGAGCTGAGTAACGACTGTGCGGAGAAAACACGCGGCAATCGCGGAGTCTCTCCGGTCTAGCTCCGTAATGTAGTCCCCTCCATAATGTCGCAGAGGAGGTAGATAGCGATTTCGCGGGGTAAAAACCGCTGCGTTTATGCGAGCAACGATCAATCGCAATTACACATTTCGCAGTATAAATTGTGCGACAAAACAAAAGCTAAATTACGATAATGAATCAACAATTGCGAGCTTCGGCGAAAAAAAAAGATACACGTGCAGTATCTTTGCGCGAATTACCGTTTTTAAAAATGCAAATGCAGACCACGTTCGCTGATATTGATAATCTCCCTGCAAAAAAGACTTGAAAGAAAGACTTTCACGTTTCTGATAGATCTGAAAATTAAATGTTTCCAAGGTATAAGATAAATTAAGCAAAAAAAAAATGTACATTATTGTCATCAAATGGTATAATTTTTTTACATCAGTGAAGAAAAAAAGAGATATACAACATGAACAAGAAAATTAAATGTGAAACTGCGTTTCGAAAAGATAAAATAAGGAGGATATTTATTACATTTTTATAATACGCGAATAAGAACCTAATGTTATTACTAAAGTATATATACATATATACGTTTATACAATCCATTTTCGTCGCGTCTGTAACAAGTGTCTGTTGAAAAAGCTCGCAACAGGTAATTTATCACCGGTGCGAAACGTTTATTAAAACTATGGACAGATAATACCTCTCCCGATTTAGTACGCAGCATGCAACACGGACATGTATGACACAGAAGCTTTCATGACCTAAAAATGATTTCATTTAAAGGACACACGGAAAATTAAGAGATGCATATATATACTGTCGGATATTATTCTGTCGACGTCTTACGTTCATAAACCCTTCTAAAGTGAGATCAAAGCATTTCCCCGCGGTGATTGTCAGTCGCTTTTGCGATCTCATCATTATGAACAACAAAATCCGACTGTCGGACGGTACCATGTTGTACCAATGTGCCTCATATACTGCGTCGCTAATCAATTTACTCTGAAAAGCGTAACTCGAGTTCAAAACGCTAATAAATAAGTATTTAAATCAATTTAAATGACCCATTTATTATGTGTCAACCAATATTATATATACGTCAATAATCGTTAATAAATTATATGAATATAACGTAATAGAATTTATTACGCAACAAATGTACTATAACTGCGTATTATTTTAATTATTGTTTTAATCAATTATTAATTGAGGCTTTAGAACGAATAAGAAGAAATAATAATCGGATATTCTGCGCACAAAAATATTTCTCACTTCACTCACCTTGAAGCTTAAGAATTCTCCTGCGTAGCAGAACACGAAGACTTCTAACGTTTTTGCAGTATAAGGAAATAGCGACTTTATCAAAACGCCTTTGTTATTGAGGGCGAGAGCCTGCGAAAGAAGGCAAATTATCGATCGAAAGAACGGTGCGATCGGTCTTGCGCTTACAAGTATGATGACGACACCCATGCAGCAGATGATTAAAGTATTCCACAGAAATTGCAGCAGCCCAATGGTCGAAAACAGATTTTCGATATCGTCCGACAAATTGATGATCTTTCGGTGCCTGTGAATGAGATCACTGAGTACAGTTAAGGCTGTACTGATTTCGTCGTTACTGTGCACTTCCATTATGGCTTGCCGCATAATATCGATCTGACCACCCACGTGAAGTATCTGTAAATATAAAACGGTTGACGTTACAAAACTAACAAAAAAAATTTTATCTACAATTACGGTCTACGGAATATGTTTGCGTCTCTCCAAAATCAGAGGGATTTTAAGATTTATGTAATGAATCGTTGTGCACTTACCAATGTAGCAAGCAACGCATTTATCATACCGACCACAGAGGCTAGAGTTATCAGATAAAAAATTTGCCAGACAAGGATACACTCGAAAAACGGTGATTCCAGTGCCGCAAAAGAGAACTGC